TGACATGTAGCTTCTAGAATATAATATATATATCATGTATCTTTCATTTTATACCTATCGCCTGTTGGAAGAAGAGGGTTTTGGGTATCCCCTAGTCGGGAGCTCCTGACAAGAACCTCTTACTTGTTATTACTGCTGAAGCAAACGAGCGCGTAGCGCGATCTTAATTTAGTGTTGGTAAAATAGGGTTCAGGATATTCCCTAGTCGGGAGTTTCCGACTAGAGCCTCTTACTTGATTTTTATACTCTGAACCCATTGAAAATGGGTAAAAAGTGTATAATGTACTTGTTCAAATGTATGTAACAGGCAGAAGGAAGCGTCTCCGACCCCATAAAGTATATATATTCTTGACCAGCATTAACAGCCGAGTCGATCTAGCCATGTCCGTCTGTCTGTCCGTCTGTCCGTCCGTCCGTCCGAATGTATGAACGCAAGGATCTCAGAACCTATAAGAGCTAGAGACTGGAAATTTTAGCTGTAGGTCCTCCTAATGCCCGCGCAGATCGAGTTTGTTTCCGATATTCGATAACTTTCCCCGTTTCCAAGTAATCGATAAAAATCGGTATTGAAATCCTGTTTTTGAGCAAATTGGGTAAATAATAAGAGCTAGAGTCACCAAACTTGATATGTTGCATTCAGAATAGTATATATATGTCAGTATTTTTCATTTTATACCTGTCGCCACCTCTCGGCTACCAGCACAAAGCTATAAATCAAGTAAATAAACCAATTTACATATACTGCTCACCAATATAATCCACAATTTAAATGCAATTGTGAGATTACACGAATATTTTAAAGTACAATAAGATCTACTGATGAAAATTATATCAGGATCGGGTAAGAAACACAAAAGTAAATGTGTTTTGGCAGGCCACGTGTTTGCGGCAGCTAGCGCAAATTGCAATAATTTCTGTATACATGTACACATATGGGGGACCGCACTACTTGCCGCCGCCCTACTCAACAGCCACAGCAATCCCTGAGTCTTACCTAGTGTGCACATTGTGCGTATTCTGTCAATGTAAACAAGAGGTTCTAGTCGGGAGCTCCCGACTAGGGGATACCCTGAACCCTCTTATTCCAACCCCAAATGCAGCTCGCGCCGGCGCGCTTGTTTGCTTTAGTAGTAATAAAGATAAATTAAAACAAGTAAGAGGTTCTAGTCGGGAGCTCCCGTTAGGGGATACCTAGTAATAAAGATAAATAAAAAAAAAAGTTCCCTTGGCATGGATCGAACTCGCAACTCACCGCATTACTTGCTGCCGCCTCTACTCAACAGCCACACCAGCCAACAAAAAAAACCAATTTAATTAGCAGCACAGAAAACAATACAATCGCAATTGCAATGCTGTTAATAGAATTCAATGCAGACGCGCATGAATGTGTGTGTGTACATGTATACAGACATTTTTACAATTTGCGGCTGCTGTCGCTAATAAGAGGAAAGCCAAAACACGTTTTCTTTAATATTTTCTGTTTCTTAATCGATCTTGATGAAATTTTCTACTATACATCTTATTGTGCTAAAGAATAATTGTGTATCCTCAAAAAGTAAATTGCATGTAAATTGTGGCTTTTATTAGTGGGCAGTTTAAATTGGTTTATTTACTTAATTTATAGCTATGCGGTAGTAGCGGGGAGGTGGTGATAGATGAAAAATGAAAGATACTTAATATATTTATACTATTCTAGAAGCTAAATGTCAAGTTTGGTGACCTTAGCTCTTATTATTTACCAAAATTGCTCAAAAAACAGGTTATCGATATCGATTTTTATCGATTACATGGAAACGGGGAAAATATTCGAATAACGGAAATGAACTCCATCTGCGCTGGCACTAGGAGGACCTACAGCTTAAATTTCAGTCAAAGTCTCTAGCTCTTATAGGTTCTGATATCCTTGCGTTCATATATACGGATGGACGGATGGACGGACAGACAGACAGACGGACATGGTTTGATCGACTCGGCTATTGATGCTGATCAAGAATATATACACTTTATGGGATCGGAGATGCTTCTTTCTGCCTGTTACAAACATATGCACAAAAACATTATACCATTTTTATCCATTTTCAATGGGTTTAGGGTATAAAAATGGATAAGGTTGTTTTAAAAGGGTGGGGCAGGGTAGCGTTTGCACAGATGTCCTAATCAAAACGCACGCGGTAAAAGTCCTGTCGGAAACGCTAGGCTGAATGTATTTTAATCAGGGGTATTTTCTGCTACTTTGGTAATTTATTTAGGAAAAGTAAGCCAGTATGATAATGTAATAATATTCTAATCATTTGTTTAAAATATCTTTCAATTTTTGAACATCTGGTATCTAATATCTTAAAGTCTTATGTCGGGGGTACGTAACTCCAATATTAAACGAAAAAAATAGTGGACTGTATGCTGTAAAAATTAAGGTACGCTGCCATTTAATTTTCGTAAATTTATTGTCCGTCCGTATGTATTAGCGCAAGGATCTTAGAACCTATAAGAGCTAGAGACTTGAAATTGGTCTGTTGGTCCTCCTATTGCCCGCGCAGATCGAGTTTGTTTCCGATATTCGATAACTTGCCCCGTTTCTAAGTAATCGATAAAAATCGATATCGGAATCCTGTTTTTTGAGAAATTTTGGTAAATAATAAGAGCTAAGGTCACCAAACTTGACATGTAGCTTCTAGAATATATAAATAAAGTATCTTTCATTTTATAGCTATCACCACCTCCCCGCTACTATCTCATAATTATAAATCAAGTAAAAACACCAATTTATGCTGCCCACCAATATAAACCACAATTTAAATGCAATTGACTTTTAGAGAAGACACATATATTCTAAAGCACAATAAAACGTAGATACTGTAAAAAAAATTTCATCAAGACCGGTTAAGAAACTCAGTTATTAAAGAAAACGTGTTTTGGCTTTCCTCGTATCAGCGGCAGCAAGCGCAAATTCCAAGAATTTCTGTATACATGTACACACACACATTCATGCGCGTCTGCTTTGAATTCTATCAGCCGCATTGTAATTGCGATTGTATTGTTTTCTGTGCTGCTAAGTAAATTCGTTTTTTTTTTTTGGCTGGTGTGGCTGTTGAGTAGAGGCGGCAGCAAGTAATGCGGTGAGTTGCGAGTTCGAACCCTGCCAAGGGAACTTTTTTTTTTATTTATCTTTATTACTAGGTATCCCCTAACGGGAGCTCCCGACTAGAACCTCTTACTTGTTTTAATTTATCTTTATTACTACTAAAGCAAACAAGCGCGCGGCGCGAGCTGCATTTGGGGTTGGAATAAGAGGGTTCAGGGTATCCCCTAGTCGGGAGCTCCCGACTAGAACCTCTTGTTTACATTGACAGAATACGCACAATGTGCACACTAGGTAAAAAAACTAGAAAACTACTGATAAAATTTTGGATGATCTAATTTTGTATTATGCGATATCTGAGTGGCGGAGCGTTCGTCCGTCCTGTCATTTATATTTGTTACACTATGTATTTATACACTTACTCGTCAGATACTCGTCTATTCTATAGACGGAGCGTAGAGATAATTCACTCTAATACCCGAGAAACTATTCTTTGGTTTACGTGAAGTATGTCTTCGTCACGCCGAAGATTTAATACCCTTGTGAAGCTCGTAATTGCGTAGATTTATTAAAACATCTTCGAGAACAGAATATTTTGCCATCAACAACTCATTTTCTAACGATTCTTCCTAAAGTGCTGTATAATATAGTAGTTTGATATTGAAAAGATTTAGCTCATATGTAAGCATCATAGTCAAACTAATAAATTCCGGGCTTGGTCATGATTTTTAGATTAAAAAAAAAGTTTTGTACACAAGAACCTACTTTTCGAATGACCGTTCCTATGGCAGCTTTATGGTAAGCTGATGCTAATAAGAAGGAATTGTTCAGTTGTAATTTTCTTTAAAATTAACTTTTGATGTTGTGAGCTCTGTAGGATAGGAGATAACGGAGGTTTGCTTGCCTCTCTCTTCTGTGCCATTACCTTACGTTCATGGGTTTTGTGAAGCCGTGGTATTGTTTTTAAACCGTTGTAGAGTTTATTATAATTTGGTCATATGTCAAATGTGTAACGCATCAAAGAATATATTTTTCAATTAAATATACCCTTGACCAGTAACAACAAATTAGTCCGTCTGTATGTTTCTATGTAAACTAGTCTTTCTTTTTTAAAACTTTCGCAGATCATATTTATGTCGGAATTGGCGGATCTGACCACCATGTCATACAGCTGCTGTAGAAATGATCGGTCCAAGGTTATGTTTTTGTATGAAAAAACTGCTTATATATCACCTTATATTAACCATATTCTGCATTTTTATATGCAGTAGTAAGGAATAATCGTGCGGTGATTAGCATCTCTATGATCTTTATATATGGAGCAATTATGATCACACTTCCATATCACATAGCTCTTTAGAAAGAATAAGATATTTCCGAAAAACAAAGCTGTTACAACCTTTCTTATTCCTCACATATTTAACAAGTGTATTTTATCCTATATGTCACAAAGATAGAACGATAGAACGACTAATTTCGAAAATATAATTTGCTTCGAAATTAATATAAAAGTCCATGCTTTTAAATCCAAATCTTTCTAATTAATTAATATTGAGAGATATCTCTATAGACTAATCAATACTACTACTGTTTACCTCGAAACCACTTTCTATTGTGAACATATTGAATATGAGTAAAGTTGGTATAATAGTTTTGTGCAAATGTATATAGAACGAGTCATCTCCGACCCCATATATGTATACTATTGCCTAGGAAAACCATCTAGAAACGTAGCTTCTCTTATAGTCTAAGGCATTAAAATCATCAATAATTTGCGCTATTTCCATAACTGGCAGATTTTACAAGCTAGTGACGCCAAGCTTAGTTTAGTATTTGTCCTAGTCGGGCACTCCCGAGTAGATCATTTTTTCTTACAAATCTGTATATTTAATCAATAAAATTTATAAAAAATTCGTTACAGCTCCTATTATCAAACGACCTCCCACAGTAAAGGAGAAAATTGCAAAAACTTGTGGCTGCTGACAAATAAAAATGATTGTGGATTTTATTGCTGGGCTCTTTGGAGGTAATATATCTGTTTTTACGTTAACCTAATTAATATTTAAAAACAGAAAAATCAATAAATAAAAAAGGGTATAATGCATTTGTGCAAATTAAAGTATATATATTCTTGATCAACGTCAACAGCCGAGTCGATCTAGCCATGTTCGTCTGTCTGTCCGTCCATCCGTCTGTCAGTATGTATGAACGTGTCGATCTCAGAACCTTTAAGAGCTAGACTTTTGCAATTAAACGTGTTTCTTCCTAGTGCCAGCGCAGTACGAGTTTGTTTCGTTAACCTATACCTTTTTTTGTTTTCAAATAATATGTAAAAATCGAGATTTTAGATTTTAAGAGGAAGAGTCACAATATTTGTTATGTGCTTAAGCAAAGAAGCTCGTACCGCAAACTGCATTTGGTGTTGATGTAGATGGGGGCTTATAATAAAGAATCTTGCTATATTTAGCCGTAAGTTTTATTATTATCACTATACCCGCCTGCTTTTATACAAATACACCTTTCATTGCTTTCCTAAGTTCATTTGAGTAGTTTTCGAATTTGGTAGGTACAATAAAATGTTGTCTTATAATCAATAAATTTGATCTGAATTTTAGTATGTGCTAATTTGTGTTTAGGGATCATCCTCTGTCTGGTCAAGCGGCTCAGGTGACTATAGTAGGGTGGGCAACAGATGTCGTATTGACACTAGCGCAGCATTAAACAAGAACAGCTTCTGACCCTATATTGACCGAGTCCCATTTTTTTTATTCAGTTTACCTCTCCCTGAGCTATAATTTTAATACAATCAAGCCTGTCGCCTTACAAGCCCTCAAATTTTTGCATTATTAGGCATATAAGTTAAATAAAGAGATTATTTTATTTACAAAAATATATATTCTTTTATTTAACGATCCGAAGATATTTACCTTTAAGTTTGATTACAAGTTTTAGACTAAATAATAGTTGAAGAGTTGGCCCTTTATAATTAATTTGTTGTCAGCGGCAGCGTCGACGTACGCAGTGGAAGAGCGCCAGCGCGTGGCGTGGTTTGCAGATTATTTAAGGTTTGGTTCTTGATGAAAGTGTCGCAGCCGCATTGTCAGCCTTCCAGCCGTTCCTATTAAATCTGAAAGTTTGATTTTCGATCTTGAGGCACAAGTGCAAACCTTGCGGTAGGTCAGTTAGTTCTTTCGTACCCAGAAGCCGTGGGAGGTCGCCTCTAGGGCCTCGAATAAAAGTATCCAAAGCTTTAACTAGGTAAAGCTTTGACATCGGCTCTTCTAATTCTCGCAGTAATCCAATTTTGTTAATTATTAATAATTAATTAACTATAGTTTATAAACTACTTGTTGGAATTCGTCTACTGACTGGTTGTTAGTCTGTGTGATTGTTGTCATTTGATATTCAAGAATGGAGGTAGGGCCGAAAATTAGCGAATGCATTTCACCACGTTCGGTTTAACTCAGCTAGGTTCACTGGATGTTCTGGGCAAATTTCACGATCTGGTACATTAAGGAAATTTTGGTTTGGGTTATTGATTTTTCTAACTATGCTTGGTACTTGTTCGTTGATAGCTTGTGTAACAACACCAGCAATGAGTGCTATCAGTTATTCTCGGTTCTCCACATTGCTTCGATGCTGGAATTCTAGTTATCTATGCATCCGTCTTTGATGTGTTTTGTACTTGTTTTCCTACTTTAAGTACGGGTGGTCTGATAAGATTGTTAGGGTTTGCCATTAGCAATGTTATTCCAAAGTTATTATATACTGAACCCATTAAAAATGGGTGAAAGGGTATAATGTATTTTTGCAAATGTATGTAACAGGCAGAAGGAAGCATCTCCGACCCCATAAAGTATATATATTCTTGATCAGCATCTGTAACCGAGTCAATTTAGCCACGTCCGTCTGTCTCTCCGTCCGTCCGTATGTATGAACGCAAAGATCTCAGAACCTATAAGAGCTAGAGACTTGAAATTTTTTTAATTTTAGATGTAGGTCCTTCTACTGCCCGCGCAGATCGAGATTGTTTCCAATATTCGATAACTTGCCCCGTTTCCAACTAATCGAAAACATCGATATCGAAATCCCCTTTTTGAGAAATTTTGGTAAATAATATGAGCTAGAGTCACCAAACTTGACTTGTAGCTTCTAGATTATTATATATATATTCAGTATCTATTATTTTATACCTATCATCACCTCACGCTACCACCACAAAGCTATAAATCAAATTAATAATCCAACTTGAATGGCCAATTTAAATAAGATGTACAATAAGATGTACTGTCGAAAGTTTCATTAAGATCGGTAAAGAAACACAAAGTTTATGTGCGCACGTGTTTATCGACTCGGCCATTGATGCTGATCAAGAATATATATACTTTATGGGGTGGGAGATGCTTCCTTCTGCCTGTTACATACATTTGCACAAATACAATATACCCTGTTTACCCATTTTTAATGGGTATCTTTCATTTAATACCTATCGCCACCTCCCCGATACCACCGCAATGCTATAAGTCAAGTTAATAAATCAACTTGTATTGCCCACCAATTTAATCCACAATTTTATTGCAATTGACTTTTTGAGAATAGACGAATATTCCTTAGCACGTTAAGGACTGCTGTTGAAAATTTCATCAAGATTGGTTCATAAAAACAAAAAGTTATTAAAAGAAAACATGTTTTTGCTATATGCATGTACACATACATTCACACACGTCTTTATTGAATTCTATCAACAGCATTGCAATTGCGATTGTATTGTATTCTGTGTATGTGCTATGTGTACGTGCTGTTATTATTATTCGTTTTTTTCTGAATGGAGATGGACTGTTGGTTTGCCTGTTGAGTAGGGGTGGTGAAGGGAAGTGTGGTCTGTCGCGTGGTGGAGTCCTATTGAGGTACCTTTTTTTTATACCCTGAACACATAAAAAATTGTTAAAAGCCATTACGTAGCAGTAAATCATATACATTTCAACTACCCACCAACCTAAACTAAATTTTTGAAGCAATTGTCTTCGATGAGTTGCTAATGTTTATTAGCTACTGTTTTGAAACTTTAGCCAAGAAATAAAGTCAATTTAGGCTTTTCACAACAACACATTATAATTCAGTTTTATTTATCGAATTTATATAAATTGTAAGATTATTTGGCTGTGGCTCAGAAGATATGCATTTTTATAGCAGCATTTTTATGTGACAAGTGCAGGAGAGGCTTGCCAACCTTGTTTACAACGAACAGCTGTTTCACTAAACTAAGATTACAACCTCTTCTAATGTTTACATGAATAATTGATTATGCTGATTTGATGCGGTTGCTGTAGAATCCAACATACTCTCCCCGTTGGAAGCCTGACTTTCAACAGAATCCTTAAGGAGCAGCAGACACAGCTTGTTTACGGCTCTTCGGATGATTCCAGCCGTGGTCTTCAGATCAGCGATGGAGCTGGACTATTTCACAGCTCCGATTGGGCTATGACGTCGGGAACTGCGCCTCTAGAAAGAATGTCAGCTGGATTTCTGTCCGTCGGAACATATCGCCACTCCATAGTGGCGGTGAGTTCTTGTATGGCAGCCACACGATTTGCCACGACAAGATTAAATTCGAAGGGCTCATCTCTTATTCAGGATAGGACTACGGACGAATCGCACCAGCAATAAAACCGGCTGACAAAAATGCCTGTGCGCTTGACTTCATCATCAGATTAGCCAACAGCTTCGCTCCACATAATTCCAGTTTTGGGACGGTCAATGTTTTTAGCGGTGCTACTCGAGACTTGGAGCAAAGGATGCGACTTGTGGTTAGAAAACTTTTGGCCACCACGTAGATGCAGGCTCCATAGTCCTCCACACTGGCATCGCGAAATCCATGTTTTTCAACATCAGCTCCTTCGAAGAGCGCCACTCTAGGAAACGACACATGCCGAATGTTGCGAAAACTGCTGCATAGCTCCCTCCAAGTCGTATCACGAGCAATCGGCAAGCTTTCATCCCAAGATAATTTGTCCTTACAAAGCCGTTGAGGAAAGATATTTGCTTTGCTTATGACTGGTCCCAAAGTCCAAGCGGATCATAAAACTGGGCAACAATAGACAGAACTGAGCGTCTGCAGGCATTAACAGTAGAATCTAGAACATAAAGTGAAAATAGCAACTGGTCGATCGCTGGATCCCATACAAGACCAAGGACCTTGGTGACATCGCTTCCATCATCGAACTTCAAGTACTGTTCCCTATCTTCATAAACTATTCCATCGAGGACTTCTTGGTGACTGGAACACCACTTTCGAAGCTTGAAGTTTCCACGAGACAATATCCCGATCGTCTGACGAATTTTCTCTCTGGCTTCAGCACCTGAGTTGGCTCCGGAAATGAAATCGCTAACGTAAAACTCCTGCTTGATGGCATCCGATCCAATTGGAAATGAATCACGTTCATTTATGGCCAACTGATGCATTGCGCGCACGGGCTGAATTGATGCTGATTTGAATATGGTTGTTGTACTGTCTTCCATCAAGACGCAATGATGTGGGAGGAAGTATTTGCAACAGCGACTTAACTCTGGACTAACTCGCAGCATGTGATTCAGATCCAGAAATTCTTTGATGTATGCCGAGTACTGCTCCATCAGATGCGAATGCCGACCCAATTTTCCCTCAAGACTGAGAAATCGACGATAAGCCTGGCCTTATGGCCTCTCTCCTAGCAGCTCTGCACTCCGCTTCAAAGGCAATCGCACTGAGTATTCGCCAGATGGTAAGCGGGAGAAGTTTTTGGCAAAGTGCTGCTCACATCGCATCGCATCCAGCATCGCTGTCAGGAATGAGGCCAGCAGCCAAAAACGAGGTACTGCGTAGTCTCTCAAAACCCCCGTTCACGACCCAGCCAAGGCGAGTCTTCAGCAGAAGAGGTAATCCTGGCAAAAGCATAATTTGCCCAACAGACAAAAGCTTGTAGAAGAGGCTCGCTCTAATCAATAGATCGAACCGCTCGGTATTTATGCTCCTCATATATATGCAAA